CAATCCTTTCGAAGCTTCGCAAAAAGTTCACGGAATCTCTAGTTCTAATGTCGCATACATGATGTGCTCGGATCACCGCCGCCGAAGGAAAATGGCCGTTCAGCCCGTCATTAGCCCTCACAAGTCGTAACAAATATTTTCACGCGAAGGCCTTGATGATACCACGTGGAAGAGTTTATTTACTCTGCGTATGAACTTGTAAATCGAACAGGAAATGTGCCTTCAATATAAGCGGTGAAAAATGCGCATATTATTTGTTTTTCTCGTCATTTTGTTACCTTAAGTAAATGCCTACTGATATAATATTTAGTGTGCCATCATCCATGGCACGTCTTGTGTTTAGCTTGAGTTTCTTTTTGTTCCGATCGGCTCAGTGACGTTCATGCTCAGTGTCGTTCTCCTGAACTCAACATGGAGGGTTCGAACCGCGGGCGACCCTTTGCCAAGCAGTTTTGTGAGCGTCGCTCACAGCCTCGGTATCCTTGCAACTTATAAGGTCCTCATATCTTGTCTTTTGTTGTTGTTATTTCTTTATTTTTTTTTAATAAATATGTATTTCCGGGCGTTTATTTTGAAAACTCTGAATAAAACAATGTAATATTGTTACATCGTGATAAAAATCGGTGGTGGGAAGAAAGACAATGAATAAAAATAAAATGTACTTGGCGCACTCATTGTGAAATTAATAGTTTGTGCGCCTAAACACCGCTCCAAGAAGTTCACATCAAATCTATATGCATTGAAATGACTAAATACACGTCCTACGGCGAATGAGTCTCAGAGAAGCTACCAATCCACAGTGTTCTCGTTTTTACTACAGCAGTTCAGAGCATCCGGGAAGGGTGCAGAGAAAAATGTTCATCCGCTCCAAACTGCTTGCAAGAGCAGAAAGCAGACTGGCTGCTTCGTTAGTTATTTTTTTTTTGTTACCTTTTCTCCCTTCGGTTATAGTAAACTTCCCCCGATTGTGGACACGCGTATTGTACAGTCAATAATAGATAATTCACAATAGGGAGTAAGCACAATAAAGCGGAAGATTATGTCAACGTAAGCTCTAAAGCTTAAAAATCCGCGTACTACCTGGGTTCTACTCTGTTGACCCTGACAGTACGGTAGAAGCGACGGGCTTGTAGAATCAATCACCCGCCTTTCTTTCCTCACCTGACTCCCCTCTCTGTGCGTGAGAACGTGATCACGTGGCAAAGAGATGACGGTATGAGTGGTTTAACAAGCGCGTATCTTCCACCCCATTTTCAGCCTACGGCGTGAATAGGGTATCGGGAAAACAAATCCGCTTAGCGTACACCGTCCGTCGGGCCAAGGCTGCGAAGAGAACCGACGAAGCGAACAGAGCAGGAGAGGCTGCGCACACAAAAGCGTCCCTCCTCGGGCGACGGGACCGCTTCTCAAGTGTCGAGGCGGGGTCGCCATCCTGTAAGCCCGATGTCCTTGTGAACAGAAATTTGGCGTGGGATGGCACTGTTTAGCCCCCCTCCTTCGTTTCGCTCTCTGCTACTCTGAGTACATGATTATTTGCGTCGAAGGGCCATCCGCGTCCAGAAGCTCCTAAAGTATGAAGTCTCGGCAGGGAAGTCGTGGGCATAGCTAATGACACCATAAAAAACTTAGAAACTTGGGCTAGTTCAAATAATCTAAAAATGAGTGACAATAAACCGAAAGCTCTTTTCTTTCGCCCCAAAAATAAGTACTGTGACCTTCCATGCGATATTATTTCAAACTCTTCTCCTGTCGAACTAGTAAGTTCCTTTAAAACATTGGGGGTGTTATTTTCGAAGTACATGTCGTAGATCAAACACGTCGACATAGATCGTAGACCGAAAACGTCGAACGACACCGGCAAGTTTCTAAACTCGCTTGTGTCGTTGACACAAGACGTGGTTAGACACTTGGTAGCACTCCATTTGATGTCGAACATGTAAAAACTTCCTGGGCCTACATATTCACATAGTTGTCTCGATATTATTTAAAGGGGAGGGAGAAAGAGGGGTGTATCTATGTGTGTGTGTGGGGAGGGGGAGGGGGAGGCGCCCTACCAAGTCTGAATTACCCGGCTTCCATATCAGGGGTGACAGTGGCAACGGCCATTGACGGTGGCGATAATGTGTGTGTACGTGTTAGGCGAGTCGAGAGCGTTTTTCTGGCCCCTCATCGCATTGTTTACTTCGAATTTTTGCAATTTTTATAGGAGGAGAGGGGCGGGCTATCGAACCCGTCTCCTCTCCCTCTGTTCCAACGCTACCCCAACGTACATAACGTTTTTTTTTTGTTTTTTTTTTTCAATGTCATATTTATATGTTACGTTCAGTCGTCACAATACAGGATTGTTGTTAGCTCTTTAGTCGGACTGGCCGTTACCCTTTTATAGGCTTCACTAGGCATATTAGCTGTTAGCTGTTTGCAAGCATAAGGAAGGGGTTTGCTTTGTTTCTGTCCCGTAGGAAAGTAGGTTGAGGACAATGTAACCCTAAAAGTCGCAAAAAAGCGTTGTGTCTTGTTTTTCTTTCTTTTCTTTACAGCAAACTGCTTTTCACCCTGGAAGAAAAACAATTCGGCAAACTCGCGTCTTAGTTTTGGATAACTGACCGCGTATCAGAAAGTTTTCTTCAATTTCAGCGGTCGCAACCGTAAAATTCAGATGTAAAACTTTCTTTTTATGTGCGAATGTTTTTTTTTTGTTTTTTTTGCCACCTTAGAAGCTAATTACGAGTTTTGATTGTTTACTTCCATCCAGAAGAATGAAATGTGAATAGAATAAATACTAAAATTTTGTGCTCATGGAAACTACGTAGTGATCATCAGGACATCACTATTTGTAGCGCGTGATAACGGGGGCAAAGCTAGTTCTTTTAATGTTGAGACGTGAATCTGATACGCTCATATAATATTCACAGCGAAGGCCTAGAAATCCGCTTTGAAATTGTAACGTTTATAAATTTCCTAACCTGAACATGAATAAAACAGCGTTAAGCGATTACTAAGTTATCCGATGAATCCACGTTCAGTAGAATCTTTAGTACCCCTCTAACACGAACGTTATTCATTGGTCTCTTTATGCAGTATAATAGCACCGACGTTACTAGTGTTCTCTATACAAAACACATGCTTAGTTTGCAAAGCTTTCGGAGTCGGATATTTCAAGTGCGGCCCCTGAAAATCTGAGTAAGAAGGTCTTGCGTTTTAGTTGCAAATCCAGGTCACATGCGTAAGCATATACGCATATATTCGGAAACAACCATACTGCATCTTGATCTTCAGACCGATACACTCGAAAGTCAATGTTGTTATATGTTTGAAGTTTTGTGATGTTAGGCACGTAATATTTGCCTTTAAATTAGGAAAATATAAGTTTGTCAGAGCTGACGGACCTATATCAAATAAAAGTAATATTCTTTTTCAACATCAGCAGAAAAAAAAAAAAATCCCTGCCAGAAACAGTAAGCGACTGGTTGCTTAGAACACCTCCTTTTTGAAGCGATGTGCTCCTGTGCCCGACGGCTGGACCGCACGACCAGCCGACCCAGTTGACCACCGCCCACCCCACCCGCAAACTTCTCTCTCACTTCGAGGGGAGAAGGAAGGGGAAGACGAAGGGTGCCTAGCGGTGATCATCGGCTCAGCGCGTTTGACCCCGCTTCCCGCTTCTTCGCTCGTAGTCCGCTCGTCGCGCCATCTGGGAGTTCCTGGGGGAACTAAAGCAAATGTCTCCCAATCCTGGCCTTGGGATTAAGATCGTTTCTCGACCACGAGTGCCGCAAGTATACAGTCGTCAGAGTAAATTTGTAAAACGCTGATCCAGAGGCACATACGGCTTCACGCACATTGCACTCGCAAAACACATTCACGCAGCGTCGATTCTTGATCGGTATCCAAACGTGCGAAGGCACAACAGAGACACAACACTTCGGCGTGCCAAGGAAGCTTTGAACACGCCGCCAGACTGGCGAAACTTGCTTTCGACGAGTTGTGCATTTTTCCTGCATGCACTGCGCTTTCGTAAAAAAAATTTCCACGTGTTCTCAACGGCATGTATCACGCCTCACACTGGATTTTAAAGAACGTCTTCGGCAAATGACGATGAACGAGTAGAAAACGTGACTTTAGTACGCTACCACCGGCTTCTGCAACGTTAACAAAACGAAAAAAAAAAAAACGGCATGCAAGATGGTTGTCAATTCCAATTGAATATTGTTGCACCGCTCCCTTAAGTTGAAACTACTCCGGAAGCCAGCCACCGCTTCTTTCTGCCAATTATTTTGAGGAAATGTTCGTCTACTAGTTTACAAAAAAAAAAAAAAAAAAAATTCAAGTTGCAACTAATACACTCACAGAACGCATTGGAACCAACTGGATACACGCGCAGTCGCTACACAGGTGAGAGGTTCTCGAATTTCGCTTTACTATTTTCAATTTGATGAGACATTCCTTTCTTAGTTTTATTTTGGTTGAATCATATAATAACAAATACACGCTGTTCGCCGTGGTAGACGGATAAAGCGCTGGATATTCTATTTTCATCATCCAGCTTTTTGAACTGGGGTAGAAACAGCACGCTATCCTGGGAAAAGTGGCGCCATTCATTGTTGTGGAAATGCTCGAGACACGTATACCGCCCGCCACTTCTCGGAAGAATATGGCGTCTGAAATATGGCTCAATGCTGCGCTGTGCCACTATGATCGTCCCAAGGGCTGCACGTTGCACGTGCCTCTTGCATCGACGCACCTTGCGTTACTTTTAAAATATGAAGGGGCTTTAACTAAAGCCCTTCTATCCTGGGAAAAGTGTCGCCATTCATTGTTGTAGAAATGCTTGAGGCACGTGCCGCGCGCCACGCGTCTGAAATCTAGCTCAGTGCTGCGCTGTGCCGCCATGATCTTCCCAAGGGCTGCACGCTGACACGCCTCGTGCACGGACGCGGAGCGGGGATGCGCGATCCCCGCTCCGCTCTTATGCATTGATTGATTGAAATCTTGTCTTTATTGATGCGAAAGGTTCGCCTGCCTATGGTCTGGTGAACCTGAGGCAGGAGGGAGGGGGTTGAGAGGGTTGTAGGGAGAGGGGATTATGATGATGATTAGGCTAGATGAATTGATGGACCCCGGATGTCCTGATAAAACGTATCAGTGAATCTAGGATTTGTTTTCTGTGTTGTGCCTGTCCTTTTGGGTGGGTCCAGGCTTCTAAATTCCTTGGTTTCGCCTCACTCGCTAGCGAGGCCCATGCGTCTTGTCTGAATTTCTCTAGACTCTTGCAGACCCAAAGCATGTGTGTTGTTGTCAGCAACCCTCCTGCGATGCATTTCTTGCACACAGGGTCGATGTCTTCATTTCCTTCTTCATTTTTTGTAAATGTTGCTTTTCTTGCCGGTGTTAAGGCTGTACCGGTCCTGATTCTTCGTAATCGTACACTCTCCCACCTCGTGTATCCTTGCGGGATTGGGTCTTCTACTGTCAGTAGAAGGCCTTTCAGGTAGAGTTTGCGTTCTTCCTTTGCCAATTCGGCTCTTTCCTCTGGGTCAATGGGAGTTTCCTCGGTTGCTTCTTCCCGAGAGGTTAGGCCAGTTGCGGAGCTGGTGCTGCTAGCTGCCTCCGCGGCGGCCTGGTGTGCCCTCTCGTTGCCCAGGATACCAGTGTGCCCGGGTAGCCATTCAATTATCAGTGTAGAGCCTTGTTTTTTTAGCTCCTTTGCGATTATTTTGATAGTTTTAACTGTCCTGTTTCTTGTTCTGCTGTTTCTGCACGCTTTAAGCGCCTGCTGCGAGTCTGTGAATATTCGGGCCGTGTAGCCCGGCTGGAGAGTTGCTTTAATGTCTTCAGCAGCTGCCAGTATAGCTTTGAGTTCGGCCTCTCTGACGGACGTCTGTTCTGAGAGTTTTGCTGTTTCAATTTTGTTCCCCGTTTCATCTGTCCATGCTATAGAAACAGCCGCGGTGTTCTTCGCGGCATCCGTGTATCTTATTTCTCCCTTTCTTTCTTCTTCTGTACGTTGTTCCAGCCACTTGTTGTGTTTCTTAGCTGCGAAGGCTCTTCTTCCCATCCCTTTCTTGGGTATCGGTTTGTGGTCGATTATTTCAACGTCTTTCCAAGGTGGCAGGGCGTCCTCTAGTGGGTACCTTCCTTCTGCTGCATAGCCCAAAATCTCAAGAAGACGCCGGCCGTGTGCGGTTCTTTCTAAGCGTTGAAAGTGTGCGATCTTTTGCGCCTCCGCCTGTTCTTCTATTGTGTTCATCCCCACGTATTTCCGGAGGTCTTCGAGGGGCGTATATTTTGGGAGTCCTGTAACTATTCTCATGGTCTGGTGGTTTAATCTTTCAATCTTTTTCCACTGGGTCCTGTTTAGGTTCATCCAATTGCAACTGTACAGTGCTTTAGAGGTGAGGAGTGCTTCGGCCATGATTCTGATAGCCTTTTCATCGGCCCCCCATGATTTGCCGGTTATCTTTCGGATGAGTTTAAGTGTCTGGTTCCATGTCTTTTCTAGCTCGGGTAGCCATTTAGTGCTTCGTGCCGTCTCTTCAAAAGTGACTCCGAGGATCTTAATACTTGGTTGCCTGCCTATGGTCTGTCCTTTCAGCTGAAGTTGCACTAGGTGAGCGATGCCCTTCCTGTGATCCCTTGGTCTTGCGACAACCATGTATTGCGTCTTTTCTGGGGATGGTTCCATCCCCACTTCTTCTAGGTAGTTCGTAACCTCGTCGATGCCTCTTTGCATTATTTGCTCCTGTTCGCCCAGGGAGCCTCCTTTGGTCCATAGCGTGACATCGTCAGCATAAATTGTGAATCCAAGGTCCTGAATACGTCTGAGTCGTGTGGGTAGGTCAGCCATCACCATATTAAAAAGTGTGGGTGATATAACTGCTCCTTGTGGCACTCCCCTGTTGTTAGGGGCCTCAGGGCCCATCGTGTTCCCGATTTTTACTTTGAATCTTCTCTTGTCGAGGAAATCGCCGATGAATTTCAGCGTTCTCCCTCCTAACCCGCATCTTGCCGCCCCGTCCTTGACCGCCCAATGGGGCACGGAGTCGAAGGCTTTTTTTATGTCGAGTGCAACTACAAGCCTTGGGTCTTCGCGGTCCTTGTCTGCCATTACATCCTCATATAGGAGCTTGATGCTGTCCTGAGTCCCCATGTATTCCCTGAACCCGGTTTGTCTTGGGTCTAATCTATCGTAGGTCTCCAGGTACCACTGTATCCTCCGCGCTATCATCTTCTCGAAGATTTTACACACGTTTGATGTCAGCGAAACCGGTCTAAAGTTCTCGCTCTTGTCCTGGGTTTTCCCAGGTTTGGGTATCGGGGTTACCCAGGAGACCTTCCACGAATCTGGTATCTTGCCTTTGGCCCAAATGTCGTTGTATTTATCGAGTAGCTTCTCTTTGGCTTCTGTTGAAAGGCTTCTGAGGGCAGTGTATGTAATCCCGTCAGGGCCGGGGGCGCTCTCTTGTTTGGCAGTGTGAATTGCTTCGAGCAGTTCCCCCATGTTAAAGGGTTCATCCATTCCCGGTTCTTGGGGCGGTTTCACAGACCAGCATTTCTTGTGTTTCTGATCTCTTCGGTTGCAGATCGCAGTCTGCGGGAAAAAGAGTTGTCCTGCTTTCGCAGCTAGCTCTTTCTCCGTGATGTTGATTCGCAGCGCGAGGTTTTGTGCAGCGTTTCTAGTCTTTCTCTTTCTTTTGTCCATTCCTTTGTATGTACGCCAAGCTTTTCTAAGTCCAGAGCGTGCGTTGAAGGAGCCGCAGTGGTTTCTCCACTTCTGTCTGCTTAGCTCCTTGGAGTATTTTGTTGCCTTGGCAGTTGCCATGTTAAATTTAATTTTCAGTTTTGTTGTCTTCTTTTTCCGGAACCTTTTAAGGGCTTGTAGTCTGCTAGCCCATAGGTTGAGGAGGTGCGTGTCTGGTGTGGGGTCTCCTTTTTTAACTAATATTTGAGTCTTGGCATTCTTCATAGCTCGCGAATGACATCTTCTATATCCTCATTCAGCTTGAGGCTCTCTTCGAGTATCTCACGAAATTTGTCCCATTTTATGAATGTTCTTGATTCCTTGCCATTATTTCCTCCTGTATGCTCTTATGCTCTTATGCAATCTCCTCAGAATTTACGGCTCTCCATGCTGGCCGCCATGAGAAAACCAGGTACCAATTTGTAGGCCATCTCTAAGTATATTAAGTTAGAGCTGACGAAGAAAATCTGGCCGCGGCGCAACGCCCATGTACACCGGCCGGCAATATGAAGGTGAACATCTTATTTGGTTTCTTGCCTATTTTACGGCTATCGAAAGCTACATTAACTCTCAACGTCTCAAATGGTACGTGGCTTGGGGTCTAAACTTTGCGCTCTAGCCCTCTTCTGGAACAGAGCTTGTTCCAAAACTTGCAGGAGTGTCAAAAACAAGAAGAAGGCTGTTCACCTTCATATCGCTCACGGGTGTACGCTGGAAGCCAACATTACCGGAGCCCCAAGCTGAGTTTCGCAGCTCCCTATTCTCGCCTGCGGAGGCGAGTGGCCCAGGTGGCGGTCACGAGAACTAGCTGCGCTGCAGTCGGATCTCACTTCCCTGTTTCGCGCGTCGTCTGCTACCACCACCTTTTCTTTTCCAGTTTACTTCCTTCCTTGATTTTTTTTTATTTTTTTATTTTATTTTCATGTGTATAATAGAAAAAAAAAAAGAAGATGATGAGGATGAAATGTAATACACCACAGAGTTGAGAGTCAGCGCAGTGTGAGAGTTCTTTCTTTAAGGTGCAACCCCACCGTGCATGACTTTTTGGTGCTTTTCCGACGGTTTATAACTTTCTTTCTACGCATCTTACAATTATAAAGTTAGTGTCAAATTAAAGAACAGTTTCTCAACAATGCTTTAATGTCTTGATATCACGATTATTTTTAGTTGTTAATTAATTATTTGGCTTTTAATAGACCACAGTCTCTAATATTGAAAAAAATTATTTCTGGAGTTATAACGTTCCACCGTCCACGATACTTTACGTGAGCGTTCGGTTAGATGTAATAAAATAAGAAAGTAAGCAACGAACTGTAGAGATAATATATATTTTAAAATAAAAAATAAAGTTTAAAATCGTAATATTTTATGGCGCTATAAAAACGGAATCACGGCAGCTAATCAAAATAACGAGACATTAAATTATGAAGCATCCTTCGATATTACATTTTCCAGAACTTCCATATCGATATATTACACGTTAAGAATGTTATAAGACCTCAAACTTTTCCCATTCAGTTACGGCGAATTGTAGTTTCTTAATAGAAAGTACAGATGGCGACACGTGTTCAAGAACAGCTTGATGTGCATTTTCCGTCGTGTGCCGCTTGGAACGCCATGTGAAAGACAGAAAAAGCGCCAGATGTCAGGGTGTCAGATGCCTGGATGCCGGCAGTGAGCGAGCCAGAGATGTGAGAACAAGCGCGAGGCTGCGGGTGCACCACAGCTACTTTTGCGCGCGTTCTACTATGCGTCGGTACACATGCCTGACGCGATCCAAATGAAATGGGCGCCATGAAATGCATTCTGCCATTTCAGATTCCCCCACGTATGCGAAAATGTTTTAATGTTTTTATCACTTGCATAAATCACTTACGATATCAAACTATGCTTGTCGGAATGGTTCGACTATATTTTGTTTCAAAAACCACCTCGGTGGCTCTTAAGTGGCAATGACATTAAAACGTCTTAGTTCCTCTCAGCCAACGCGCTGGCCTATGAATCTATATTTGTCGGGTTTAAATATCGGCCGAGGTGCCCGCAATCCGACGGAGGCCAATCTGAGATTTCGGTTGCACATCAAAAGATCTACGGTTAGTCAAAATAAACCCGCAATAACTTTTTTTTATTTTAGCGTGTTAAGTGCTTTTTGTTGGTTTGGCTTGTGAAACCCTACGATCTGAATATTTGCTTTGCTTTACCTTAGTTCGGAGAGCAACCAACGCTACGGGCTGATGAAGCCACTGAAGCAGCGCCAAGAGCGCGAAGTTAAGCTGTTCGTTCTCTTTCTGTGCCTATGCGGTCGGGCTAAACTAGAACCACTAAATAAGCTACGCTTCATACAGATATGGATGCTTAAAAAGATGGTTGTCAGTTATCTGAGGCTTTATCTGAAACCACTGGAAACGCTTTTCCGTCCTCCACAAATGTTTAAACAGTTGGCGACAAAGCAAAGCAATATTACGTGAGCTTCCTGACACCGAAACTATTTCTGAGGAAGTCGCACTTTTGAATCATGACAACCGGCAGTTGCATATGATTTGTTACTAACCACCAACATGGCGGCGCCCAAAACAATATCGGGGGAAAAATTGCCGATACTCTAAGTGTAGCTCATTTGGTCTAGCTCACAGGATAAATCAAGTGCGGTGGGGGATCGTTGACCGAGTGTGTTGTGGCACCGCAGATCAGAGCACGTGGAGAAATGCTCGAGTGCGAGCTCCGTTCAAAGCACGGAGCTCCCGCTGCAGAGCGTGCAGGGACTAAATCCCCTTGATGTATTTGCGTTGGTTTTTCAAATAACCTCAAAGGTGCCAGTGCACGAGGCCCGTGTCTCGACCGGCACTTGGACACAAATGGCGACGCAGCACTTATACATTCGAGTTGCCCGTGTGGCACGCGTGCCACACGGGCCACTCGAATGTCATTTACAACGAATGACATTCATGTGATCAACGAATCGGCTCGCGATCTGTCGCGCGTGGAACGCCCCACGCTCGGAGTGTCGCGCGCTGATTGTCCGATCCTTCAAATGTCATTCGTTGTAAATGGAATTCGAGTTGCCCGTGTGGCACGGGCACCGTGGGCACGGGTATATAATGACTGGCCCTTGAAAGGGAATGGCGGCGGAGCGCCCGCTCGTGGCACGTGTCTTGCGCGTTTTCACAATAATGGTTGGCGTTACTTGTAAAAAACGCATTTATCAAGGGGCTTTAGCAGGGACCCTGGGTTCAGTCGCCCATCTGCATCCTGCCGTCGTGCGATCGTGTATCACATATACTGCGTAATGCACGTTAAAGACCCCGGACTAACAGTTGCACTGCACTTCTTACAACCTTCATCGGGTAACAATGTCGCCCTACGAAATTGCTGCTCTCTAAAAAACTAACGACTAATTTTGAATGCGCCGTTACATCGCATTTTTAATATGTGTTCGCGTTCTTTTTTATTTTTATTTTTTGTCTACATCTTTGATTATGTTGCTCTTACTTATAATGAAACAGACTATCGTTGTCAGACTTCTGGAAAAAATATTATACAACTAAGAAAATGGCACGTGAACGTAAAAGTAAAAAAAAGAAAAAAAAACGCATAGGCGCACTTAATAAAAATAATCGAAATAATAGAATTGATTATAATTGTGTTTTCAAAGGTTTGAGCGCCCCAAACGCTATAAAAGCGAGCTCGGTGCATTGGATGGTGCGCTTGTTCCAGTGGGGGATCGTTGAGCGCACCAAACGCTATTGGCGACGTGCGCGACCGAAAGCGTCGCTGTGGTCGGCCTTCCACAATTGGCCCAAAAGCTGACTATGACGTCGGAAAGGGTATACCATCGACGGAAATAAGAGGAATGAAAGAACTTTAATTTCGACGGTGTTGGCAGTGTTGCTTTGAGAGCGCTATGATTTCAGGCCTCCACCATGCTATTTACGAACACCATCGAACTTGTTGTTCGCAAGGTAATGACGTCACAAGGGGGAACCATAGGAGGGCGCCACCGAAACATCTCGCCGCTAATAAAAGCGAGCTTGGTGCTTTGGATGGTGCGCTTGTTCACTGGAAGTGTAGTTCAGGACAGTATGCTCGCACTTGTATGTTCTGCTTCGCTCGCAGAATAAAACCAAATACTTTATTGGTAATGTATTGAATGAGACAAAGCTCACCTTCTGCATATGTGCAATGCCCTCAGTTTTCGCGTAATTACACGCTTATTTATCATTATTGTTTTCGTTACCCCCACAGCGATTCAGTTCGTGCTCTTTTGTGTGCTACATGCATTATTAGAGACCAAGGTAACCCAAACACATTCTTTTTCGCAAATTCTAAAAAAAAAAAAAAAAAAAAACCTATACAACTTGCTACGTGTACCACAACCAATAGAAAATATTCTAAGCTTCACATATGACCGCGTGCCTGACTAAACATCGTTGTTTGTCAAGAACAATTGCGATCGTATGAAATCACGTGAGAAAAACTCGTTCTAAACACGCGACCGTTGGCATGCAGTGAATGCTCA